GACGTAGCCCCAATCAAACCAGTGCACCTCCACCTGCACCGCTGGGACGCAGCGGGACGCGTCGCCAGAAGGTGCGGGGTACGAGCACGCGTGCCCGTTCGGGGTGTCCTTGAGAAGCGTGGAGTAGCACATGTCGTCGAAGCAGAAGGCACAGCCGTTCCTCGTATCCTTGTTGCACACCTCGCACCCGTCGAACGAGTGGCGCCAGCAGGGGTCGTCAGCCACGTCGCAGTCCGCACCGCCCCACCCGGACGCCGCATCACACCGGCACTCCCCACACTCACAGTACCCACCACGCGGGTTACAGTGGCTGCAGTCGAACGGCCCCTCGCACCTCACCGCGCAATCCACTCCGCTGAACGGCTCACGACACCTGCAGACGCCGGTCCCGTTCACGCCATCGTCGCATACCCCCCCGTTCCTACAGCGGCGGCACGGGAGGCATTCCGGGCCGTAGTACCCCGCAACACACCGCTCGCATCCATCGCCGCTGAATCCAGTCTCGCACACGCATCGGGCCGACGCGGGGTCGCATGTTCCATGGCGTCCGCAGTCGTTGCACCTCCCCGTGGGATCAAAGCGGACCCGCGTGCCAGTCCGAATCAGGGACGGCGGAACGGTGACGGTGGCAGGGTCCTCCACGCGGTACCGGAAGAGGCCAACAAACGGCGGCGGGAACGCGAAGAAGCCCAGCACGGGGCTGCTCGCTATCGAGGTCGCAACGGGCAGGCCGTAGCGGAACTCCACGGCACCGCTCGCGTCAAGGTAAACCTGGTACGTCGAGGAACGAGCAAAAGACGCAAAGGAGGACGTGTTGGCCACCTCCACCACAAACCCCGGAGGGCACCGCGGCCGCTCGCAAAGCACATCTGCCCCCGTGCGCTCGGGGAGACGCGCATAAGTGATGGACGTCCCCGGCCCCCACAGCCCCGCAGTGACGAACGGCATGGCAGCGAAGGTGTAGTTGCCGTCGGGGCACACGTTCCATATGGGTCCGCACCGCTGCGTCGAAGAAAACACCGAAATGAGGCCGGACGACAGCAGGTGCGTCGTGTTCGTCACGTGCGACGCCTGGTCCCTCGTGTAGAAGGGGAAGTCAAACCCCATGTCCAGCTGCAAAGATTGACCCGCCGGAACCACGCGCACGTGCCCACGCAGCGCGGCGAGGCGGACGAGCTCGGCACCCTGCTCCACAGCAACCACGTAAAAGTCACCGCCCACCGGCGAGGGCGGCGGTGCCGTCCGAAAGCTTCCGCGCGGGCAGCAGCTGGACGCGAGCGACGTCGCCACGCACGCTCCCGTCGCAGCGCACCACCCGCACAAGTCCGCCGCATTGACGCACGCCGAGTGGCTCAAAAACGCAGCACACACGTCCACAACAGGGTCATACCGGATCGCAGCAATGCCGTTCGGACGCGGCGTGGCGGTCGCAACGACACGCTCGCCCTTCGACAGCACGAGACCCACCGACGCGCGGCCGCACGCGGGGATCTGTCGGTACCGCATCACAATGGTGCCGTTGGCCCACACCTCCACCTGCGCCGTCAGCGTGTCCCTCGGCGCCACGCACGCAGGCAGCGGCACATCGCGGTACTCAACAGTCACACGCTCGTACCCCGGGCCGCCGTCGGCGCCCGTCACGCCGTGCACCCGGACACTCGGCGACAGCCGTGCAGCCGAGGGGTTTAGATCCGCTACGTACAGCCCGATCATCGGCCAGTCGCCGCCGCCGCCGTAAATCGCGTCGCCGAACTGGTATTGCCCAAAGAGCGTGTCTGGCGCCGAATCCGAGCAGAAGAAGGCACACAGTGGCGATGGCGTCGGCGCCAGAAAGCCGTCCGAAGACACATGCCACGGCACAGAGTCGCGGCTGAAAAACGGCGACGAGATGTTCATCGGCTCAAAGTACGGCGCGTCGTCGTAGCCAGAGACGAAGGAGCCACGCCCACGCTCAAACACGGTCTCGTCGTACCGCGCCCAATGATCATCAGGAAGGGCGGCCACCTTCTTCGCACGCACAGTCTGCACGTCGTACCGCACAACAGCCGCCTCGCAGCGCAGCAGCGCAGCACTGACGCAGCACAGCAGCAGAATCACGCACATCACAGAAACCTAAGACAAAACAAATTACTATGCCACAAAAGAACTGCGCGGCAGGCACAAACAAATGGGGGAAAGGAGCAATGGGCGACTCACAGTGGCAGAGGCGAAGGCAATCACACGCACGCCGGCGCGGCCACCCCACCAACTCCCCGGCGAGGAGCAGCGCACAGCAGAAGAGAGCCAAATCCAAAAGGCAAAACGCACACTCAGTCACAAAAATAATAATAATAACAAAAACGGGGCAAAGCAAAAACAAAAACACACAATCACAGGAGGCGGCTCCCACCAACAACCCTCTGCTGCTAGCAACCTAACCACATTCCAGTGTAGAAGCAAAAATATTGGCAGCAAACTCAGTAAAAACGTATAAACCCATGGACGCCCGTCAGTGGCGGCACCACACATGCGAGCAACTCTCCCCCCGCTCATCCCGCCGTTTGGCTTCGGCCGCTAACCAAGCCCTCGTGTCCAACACGTCTGCGGAAACATACATCAATACGGGCATCATTGAAACCCTTCACACACACACACATTCCATAGCAAAACACGCACAACAATGTTTAAGCACACACGCCCAATAGTGCGGCAAGTGGTACTTATGGATTTGACCCCGGGGACCGCGAGCATACTTGACCGAGAGCATCCACTATCACGCATTCGTCACCACACCGCTCGCAAAGTGAACCCGCCGTGCACTCATCTCGGACAGAAGAGCATCTATTGCCCCAGCAGCCGAAGTACTGAGAGTGCGGAACTTAACAGTAGTGCCGTCATGATCATCCTGGGGCGCCTTTGCGGCGTCCGCACCGGCCAACGTGCTACCCATAGCCAGTTGCGCAACCACAACATCCTGCATCATGAAAGCCAACCCATTCAAGGGTGCATGCAACTCTATAGGAGAGGCGCCACATTCATCCAAATTCAGTGTGAATGCACCCTCAGCCACATCCTCAGCGCGAAACCTCTCCATAATTCCGTTTATGTACAGTCCGACCGCCCTGGTTGCAGAGGCACGTGGCGCCCTGCGACGCAGCCCTCGTTTCGCACTCAAAACCGTATTCGCCAATCACAATGTCGTCAAACACTACCGGCGTTGTTTGTACAGAGACGCCAAGAACGACGTGCGGTCCCTCACCCATTCACGACCGCCCAGCGCCTGTGAAAGCACCTCGCCAAAAATCCACCCAGCAACCATCATATCGCCCTCGTCGTCATGGATAAAAAAAAGAATCCTTGTCGGTATAGTACTTTTGGCCGCTTTTCTCCAGATATTCCCGCATCAACTCCTGGAAGCGCCGGATGGCCTCGCACTGTGTGTCCTTCGCCAGTGGGTTCGTCCCAGTCGTGGTCACCTGCCCAGGCACAAACACAACACCGCCAGCCACAGCAGCACGCCACACCCTCAAAACAAGGTCCTGCAGCACCGAGGAAGCAAGCATGTACGCGCCAGCAGTACGCTTGCCCGCCAGCATCCTCCTAACAAGCCTCACGGCATCATTTGTCGGTGACCCAAACACAATCACAGCCTGCAGCTGAGTGTCAGCAAACGCCTCCCACGCAGCGTCAAACGCTTCCTTCTTCGCACCACCGTTCACAGAGCTCTCCACACTGAAGACATCGCTCAGCTCGTAGCCCATCCCCGAAATCGCACGTTCTGCCAGCTCATACTCAGTACCACCAAAATATTCACCCTCCATGTAAATGAAGCCCAGCCGACGCACACGCAGATGGACCAAGGCGTAGCGGAGGAGTGCCAGCAGCTCGGCTGCAGGGTCAGCACGCAAAAAGTAAAACTTGGGATTCCGCCCACGCACCAAACTCGACCCAGTGAACGGGGCAAACAAGGCAAGGCCATGCCGCATAGTTAAGGTCAGAGAGCTCGCAAAGATCGTATCGCCAATAGCGCCTGCCACAAGAAGAATATAACTGCTTTAATTCAACGCTTTTCCTATCACCGCTCCACTCGTTTGCATTGTGGAGACCTTCCTGATAATCTCCCCATAAACAGCGTCAGCAACAGTGAAGTTGCGCGACCAGAGGGCCGCCTCTAGCCCAGCCTCAAGTGAATCCACCAATTTCTGGTCAATTGGGAGGCCCGGCACACTCAGCATAAACACCTTCGCACTGGTCTCACAGGCAAATGGTTTGGAAACCGCTACCTGCGGGTCAAACAGCAGCAGCAGGGCAACAAAAGGCACCGCGCCGCCGCACAAGCACGCCGCCCTCGCGGCCACACCGCCACCCATCCCACCGCCATGCCCGTTGCCCTAAAACTGTCTTGCTGTGTGGGTTGTGGCTTCCTGCAGGAGAAACAGAGAAGGGAAGAAAAAGGTGCACAGAGGAAAGGAAAGGAATCAGCCGTGTCGGCAAGTGCAGCAGAGAACAAATGAGCGTCAACGACAAAAGTGCCGCCAAACACATGTGGAGACAGTCCAGCACAAACAACGGTGTGGGTGGTTATGTACATCGTCCCTCACAACGTCGCGGTCGCCCCACAGTACTATGCAATACATCACGGCGACGCCGCCTGCGCGTGCCGTGCGGCTGTCTTCATCCTTCCCACGGCAGCTGGACAGCCAGCATCCAGCATGCAGCGCACCCAACACGCAAATCCAACGGTGGAATTCGCGCCAAACCCACCCGTCGTGGCGGTGTTTGCGCCGAACCCACCAAAGCCAGAAGAAGCACTTTTCCCCGCAGTCGCTGCTGGCGCGGCCGCAAATCCAGTTCCCGCAGATGCCTGTCCAGGTTTGAGCATGCCCTCACAACAACTAGTAGATCTTTGAGTCAAAGGAAATCAAAGAGGCAATGGTGGGGTGTGGACTCGGGGCAAAAGAAACACTGGGAGAGGCATAAAGATGGTATGATCCATCATCATTCCAAACGCTCAGCGAAGCACCAGCAAGAAAACAAAGGGCAACAACGCCACCGTTATGATACAAATGAGGACAGAATAGCAAATCTATGATCATTTGGGGGACGCCACACTTCGGGCGGCCCAGTTATTACCATTCCATTCAAAAGTAATAATGAAACAACGCAACAAAAACAAAACAGTTCATCATCGAATAGACCCATTTAACAAAGCAAAACGCCCACCAATCCATTTTTTCCTTCCTACTCTGACCTCCACGTCTAGCTACACAATGCCATCTGACTCCCGAAGAGGTGTTCGAGGAACGACAAAAGTTTCCTGCGATGAAGTAACTGCCATTGAGAGGATTTTCCGAGGCGAAGGTCCTGTTCAATGCCCAGCCGTTGACGCACAGCCAAGGTGCCTAGAAATTCTGGAAGCAGACGATTCTGGTGAGAAGTTGCGGGATCGGCATTGGTTCGTGCAATCTCTCACACTCCAGTACGGGCGACCACGGAGCTCACATTCCCCGTATCCTGCTCGTGCAAGGTGGATCCGTTCCTGTCGGTCAAAAAATTCCTGAGTGATCAGGTGCTCGCCGCCCGGATCTGATGGCCTGGCGCTGCACAACAAGTAGCGGAGGGTGTCTTGACGCATGGTACTACGCCACTTGTTGGTGAGCTGGGTAGTAAAACATGTCAGCAGATCCGTGTGCCATAAGGGTGCTATTCGATGCTCCGTGTGCTGTCCGCTTGCCGTGGTCTGCGTCGCATACTGATCCGCAAGCTCGTTAGCGTGTACTCCGCAATGTCCGTAACAAAACTGCAGGTGCACGGACCAGCCGGCACGCGTCAGTGTCAGGAGACGCTGCCAGATCTGGTCCTCCGTCCAGCCGGTCCGACTGAGCGGGCCCTTGTTTAGAGCCGCCAGAATGGCCTGGCCGTGCGTCACCACAAGCAGGGTTTTATGCCTGTGTGCTAGATACGAGGGATAGTCAGCTTCTCCAGGGCTAGAAGCAGCGCACGGGATTCCGTCCTGCGGCTACACTGGCGTTTGCCACGGTTGAAACCTAAATTCGCTATTATCTCCGATGAATGAAGGGATGAAAGCAGTATTCCAACCCCTGCTGACTTGGGAACGTCGACACCGCCATCGGTCGCAAGTATCCACGAACGATGGCTGTGCAGCGCTAGAGCCTCTTCGCTGACCCTGCGCTTTTCCCTTATCAGCTCTTCCTCGTCAGTTATTGGGAGGTCTATCGGAAGTTCCACACCGATGGTGGCCCGGTGAGCGGAGGCCGCAAACCAGGGAGGAATGGAGCTGCGAAAGAACCGCTCTTCGCGTGGTGAGCTCTCGGTGATGCCATAGTCCTTTGTGTATGCGTCTACGAAGGCATATAGCTCGTCCCGAGATAATGGCGAGATGCGGAAACCAGCGCAAGGCGGTGGCTCAGGCGGGGGTCTCCGCATCCAGTCCATCTGACATGCGCGTGTTCTCAAATATTGAGAGCCGTGCGCGCAGGCAAAGGACATGGAGCGGCGGCATATTAGCCTCCAGTAGCGCGGATTCCGGGTCAACAGTGCTCGGAACTCCGCTGACAATGCGTGCTAGAGTTGCGTACGTCTTCTGCATCTCATTCTTCGCTGAATCCGTCGCTACTGCCCATATGAGCTCGCTGCCATAGCGTAATTTGGAAGCACCGTATCCAATGACGAACGTGCGTAGGTCATGTGGGGATGGTCCCGCCTCTTTGTGCGCTATGCAGCGTAGCTGCGATATCCGTTGCGAAGTGGCAGCGCATTGCTTGGTGGTCGCCACATTTAGCGTCAGTCGTGGATCGAGATCCATGTCGAGAAACTTCGTAGTTCGCGATGCCCCCATGGTCATGACTGGGATTTGGCATCCAGCCACTACCAGGGGCCACTTTCCTTCACGATCATAATCTGACTCCGTGTGCGTGGATAGTGTGAACCAAGCAGCTTCACACTTTGACGGGTTGATGGCCAGGCCATTTTCCTGACTCCACGTATGCAGTTTTTGAAGAACCATGTTGGCAGTGGGAATGGCGTCTTCCCGGGACTGCCCCTTAACGATAATAGAGAGGTCGTCCGCATACATGTCTGCTGTGACACCCGCAAAGCTGTTCAGCAGATTGAGAAGTGGGTGTGCGTAAAGGGAGAACAAATATGGTCCCAGCACGGACCCCTGAGGAACTCCTCGCAGCATGGGACGCCGATCGCTGTGTCTGTGACCAACTCGTGTCTTCGCGTAGCGAACACATCGAAAGTTTCTAAGCCACCTTCTACAATCCACCCCCGGAATATTAGCCAGCAAGCGACTGAGGACTCGATGATCTATGGAGTCAAAAGCCTTGCTGAAATCAACCAGCACTAGCAGGGTCCGATGGGGTCTGTAGTGGAGTTGATTGCCAATACCGCTCTTCTTGGGAAGGCTCACCTGGAAATAATGATTTCTATTATGCTCCACTTCGTGTATCAGGTGTGCCAGCTGCATCGTCGTGGTACGCATACTACGATATGCATACTGGTGGGGGTGCGGCGTCCACACCCAAAGCAATCTCTTCAGTGCCATTTTCTCAGCAACCTTACTCACAATGGAAATAGGGCTGATGGGTCGATATGACTCAAGCAGTTCCGGCGACTTACCGGGGTTTAAGAGTGGAACGATGGTGGCGCGTCTCCACTCAGCCGGAATCGTACCGGTCGTCCAACTGTGGTTAATGCAACGAAGAAGGAATCGGAGGCCCTTTAACGAAATATGTCGCAGTGCCTCACTGTAGACTTCATCCGGTCCGGGGGCCTTGCCATACGGCGCATTACGTAGCGCAGCAAGCAGTTCCGTACGATTAAAAGGTGCATCAAGAGGGGAGTGAAGATGAGCAACTAAACCAGATGTGGTGGCAGCTTCGTTTTTATCCTGTGGCTTAGAACTAGATGAGAGTGAAGAACCTGAAGTAGATGTAGCGGCAGACTCGTTGTTGTTCTGCTGCCCAAAAAGAAAAGAAGCATTAATGTTCAAGGATGCACTCTGTCTGTTGATGCCTTTGGAAAACCTAACTGCCTTGTGAGAGGGGTGAAATGGAAGAAAGATGCGATTGAGAGCATTCGCTGCTCTCCTTGCTGTTTTATAAGTGTGTTGACCATCTCCCAATAACATTGATGTGGGAGATGGAAGTGATGCCTTATTTCGTCCGGAAATGTATTTCCATGCGAGTGGCTCGCCTGGATTTAACTTGCTGATGCGGCGTAGATACGTGTAGCGCAAGCGCTCTCGGAGGAGGAAAAATTGACTCCTTGTCCGTTGCATTTCTGCCTCACGGTCGGGCGTCGGTAACTGTAGATAGCGGGCCTTGCTGTCCGTAGCAATCCGCTCTGCCTCCATGAGAGTGTCGTCCCAAAGCCTGGGACCGTCCTTGTGCATGCCGCGGGGGCAATGTCGTCGATACGAAGTTATAAGCGCTCTCGTGAAAGCCTTAATGCCGGTGGACTGCTTTTTATAGTCATATGCCGGAAGTTGTGCGTCGAAGTCCTTGATGAATAAATCCCACTTGCACTTCCCCCAACTGTAGAAAAACTTAGGTGCCGAGGGGGGTGCCGAAGGTATGGTATCCTTAAATGCCTGATGCGGCGTAAATGTCAGCATATAATGATCACTAAGCGGCGACACAGAAGCTGACCAATCCGACATATTCAAATGCTTTGACCACGTCAGATCGATACAGGATCGTTCTCTTGTGCCACGGGCATACGTGATCTCACCAGGGGTGTTAACCAAGGTGAGTCCCGCATCCGTGCACAGTTCTAAAAATTCTGCAGCAACCTCGCTTGGAGAAGTCTCCAAGAATGGCTCCCACTGTGGGTGATGCATGTTGAACTCTCCACCGTGACACATCATATTATCTTTCAGCACAGCCAGAAGCGTTCCACCCATCGCGGTAAGCCAGCGCTTTTTTGACACGATCCTCGCGATACAAAAGTGTCGTCGCGAGCAACTTTGTGCAGATCCGCCCACTGCCCACTGTGTTCACTGCTTGGGGCCTCATCTTCACACCACACGCATTCCCCATGGCGGCGGGTGTCACTTGTGGCTGCCGCGGATGGTCCGACACAGAAGGCAAGATGGGTTTGTCATCCAGTCTCGCACAGAATTCACACTGCCATCGAAAGCCAACTTGGGGGCTTTTCTTAGTCTCCAGAAGACTCCCAAAGTGACGAATGCACTGCGAGTGTTTAACGCGTCCCCTTCTGGAGTTGTTCCTACTGCCCTCAGGTTGTTTTTTCTCTTCATGTCTCACTTTAAACCTCTGATGCGGAGTATTTCGCTTTGGCGGTGACGCTGGCAGAGCAATCCCTCTTGCCTTGAATTGGCTGAGGAGCAAATTTTGTACACGCTCACGGCAGAGGAAGCTACGGACCTCCAAAGGCACACTGTCGTCTCCTCCGCCAGCAACAGGACGCCAAACAACACCGAGAAGTTTTTCCAGGGCCTCTAAGTGTTCCTTGTAGGAGTCACGGCGGTCAGGCGTTACGATAGGATCGTCCCAAGCCGTTGCGGGTGAAGTCAGCGCTTCCTCGTCCTCTTCCTCCACGTTACAACTCGCGTCGTGTCCACGATGCAAAAAGTTCCCTCGACCTGCCCGCGGGCTTTCGATTACACTCAACGATGACGATGATGATGCGGGAAGAGCGGCACCCCCCATCTGTTCTCGATCGAATTTGCCGATATCCACTCGCAACATGCCCTCTCGCTGCGGCGTGAGAAGCGACTTCTTGCTTGTGGAAGAAATTGTGGAACACTCCTCCGGTCCCTTTCTCAACCTTCGGTCCCAGTCCCGGTCAGAGGAAACGGAAGAAACGGACGAGGCACCTGTCGCACACGCATGAAGGCTGCCACCCAATATGTCACTGATGCTCCTCTCATCAAGCCCGAGTGAGGCCAGTGTTTCCCCAACGATGCTCACATCCACTTCTATTTCGTGCAGAGTGCTCTTCAAGTATTCAATATACGTGTCCTGAAATGACTTCAGCATACTCCTGACGCTGTTAACCCCAAAAAAAAACCTTTCGTGAGTGAAAAAATATGGTGCACAAGAAAAAAAAGGAAAAAAATAGGGAGAGATTCATAACAAACCGACGTAGAGTTACAAACATGTCTTGTGTATATACGCATCGCATCTTAATTCCATTGCATCGCATCCATCAACTATTAGCATCCCTGCCCCTCGCGGCTTCCGCCGCTTTTATCGCGTCCTCGACCAGTGATACATCTTGAGCAACTTTTCGTGCTTCGCTCAAGAGATCCTCCATGCCCTTTACAGCAGCTGCAATGCCTGTCATCCCCTCCACTACACCGTTGGCCAAAGCCATCGCCTCACGCAACCGTTCTTCAAGGAAGACAGTGCCTTGAAGAAGAGCGGTACTGCACTCCAGCGTTGCCCGCCCAGCCCGAGACGCATGCTCCTCATAGGAGAAAACCAGAGACCCAAATTCTTGCGTCAAAGAAATAGCGGCATCTTCAACCTTCGTCAGGTACACCTCTAGAGGTGTGACGCCGGGAGAAGACAGATAGCACGACACCGCCGCATCAAGGTGTGTCACCACTTTGACCCCACCACCACCACCAGAATCTCCCACTCCCGACATCGCAGCATAGAAACAAATAGCAAAGCAAGAGCAAAGAGGAGCAATGAAACCAGCAGTAAAAGGACAGGAGACAGAGAAAAACAATCTGCCGACACGCGATACAACCCAGGGAAAACTCTCATGTTAGTGTGGTCATAAGAAGCTTCTGCTTTGTGTGTGTGTGTGTGTTTGTGTGTTATTACATGCCGTCTGCCTCATCGAAAGACCTTCGGCTTCCTTTTATTCGTTCCGGTAGCTCAGTGTTCGTTTCCTCTCCGCGGTGCACCCCTCTTCCCACCCCATTGCCTCCCGATCGTCTGCTGTTGCCACGACAAATTACGCTACTTTTCCTTCGTTTCTTCGTCCTCATCATCGTCATCGTCGCTCTCCGTCTCCCATTCATTTTGACTGCTTCCCTCCTCCTTCTCCTTTTCTCGCTCTGCATCGCAAGCAGCCACCGTTCCATTACTACGAGGAAGCTCTGCGGCTCCCGTTCCCAATGACGACGTCGTCTTTTCCCCAAGGCTCGCTGCCAACTGATGAAGTTTGTCAAGCAGCATCCGCTCAAAACCAGTTTTTTCATAAATGTCGTCGGACTCCTCTTCCTCCTCACACTCTCCATCATCATCATCATCATCATCATCATCGTCGCGATAGTTCATTTCACCGTCCACATCCATCATGCGTAAGCTGTCTCTTCCCATAGCCTTCATACGCAATTCCATTCGGCTGCCGTACCCGGCCGCATCGTCCTGGTCGAGGTAATTCATTAAGTCGGCCTCTTCGTCGTCATCATCAGCCCCATCCCAGTCCATCTCAAAACGCTCCTCCGCTCCGTCCTTGTTGAATGCACGAAGACGCTGATCCATTTCTGTCTCGCGAGAGAAGAAACCGGCATATGCCTCATTGATTTTCGCCATCTGCTGAGCGATGCGATCGTTATAGCCATCGCTGTTCGCCCATAGAAATCCGTTATTGGTAGTTTCATTTGGTCGCATGGCGATTCGACGCTCACGCAACTTCTCTCGCTCATTTGAAATATCAAAATATTCCACCAACTTTGCCAAGATATTCGCACACTCACTGGGGTCAATGCGCTTCCCCTGTGCCTCCATCTTCAGCAGCTCGCTGTGAATCACCGCCTCCACCAGACTGTCACGCGCTTCTTTCTCCAGCTCAGTGGCAATGTGATAGTTGAGAGACACGTTCGTCTCATCCCCCGAGCTGGAGCTCTCCGCCTCCTCTTCTTCGTTCTTGTTGTTGTTTTCCCCCTCCTCATTGTATGCCCCACCACCCAGCTGACGCATGAGTCCCCGCGCCATCCGCAATGCCCCCTCACGCTCGGCCATGGAGAGTGGGCCGACGCACTCCAAGTCCCTGCCGGCGTCGGAAGCCCTCTTCACTCCCAGCTTCGCTGGGAAGACAAAGTTGGGGTCAAAGAGCGGGGACTCCTCAACGTCGTCAAATATCCCTTCGTCTCCCGTCGTCCCATGCTGTCTCTTCCACCATTTTTGAGCGATCCACGCCACAAAGGCTGAACTCAAAGCGACTGAGGCAAAATAAATGATGCCAAGGCGTCCGCCCGGATCTTGAGAAACCTTGGCAAACATGGGAACTGGAATTCAAGGGCTGACCTTTTTCCTTCGTGCCTCCTCCTTCGATCGCTCCCCCTTCCTGTCACTCTCTCTCCGAAAACCGCGGGCGGTTCGTACACACCGATTTACTTCAAAACCATAAAAAATGGCGAGAGAAGAACCGTTGAGCCCAATGAAGTAAAAAGAAAAAAAAAAATAGGCAAACACACGTAACAAAAAAAAGAAAAAAAAAATCAAGAGAAATCGCTGATGCCGTGGAACTTCTTCTGTCGCATCCCCGCCCGTGCCTCTCATTTTGGGGCGCCGCACACCATCGGGCGCGTTGGAAGCGCTACGCCAGTCTTTTGTCAAACACACAAAGAAAACTTCAAAAAGGAAGAAAGAAAGGAGAAGGAGCCCTTCTCTGGTGATGAAGGGGCATCATCAAAAAAATATTGCTGAACTTCTCAATAACTGCAAAATGACTCCACACACACACACACAGAGAGAGAGAGAGGGAGGGAGAAACGCATTTATAGCTGGAAAAAGCATGGTCGCCCCGTCAACACTCCCAACGCACCACAGTCGTTCATTACACGGCACTTGACAATAATGCAGAAATGACGAATGACAGGAGCATTTTTGTTTGCCTTTTTTCCCCTCTCCCTCTTTTTTCTCTGTTCCTTCCCTTTGCTTCTCGATTGGCAAAACGGAACCCTTGCTGTTATTAATACCTTAACAGAAAAATAAGAAACACGTAGCTACGCCGCATTGCGCGTCTCGGATCAGGGGTTCCTTATTAATTAAAATTAAGCAAATAGGCGAGCATGGCAACAAAAACCACCAATACGACCAGCAAAAGATTTAGTAGTCGCTCCTTCTGTTCCTGCGCCCTCTCCTCGAGCATGGGAGCCACAGTATCAACTGGCAACGTACTGCTGCCAGAATCCATCATATCAGAAATAGCAGGTGCCGCCGTCGCCACATGAGGACGCGGGGCACTCTCAACATCGCTATGCCCACCTCGGCCACGATTCATTCTGCGCCCTATTCCACCACTGCCACGTCCTCTTCCGCCCCTACCGCGTCCTCTTCCACCCCTGCCTCTACCCCGTGACGAGCCACCGCGGCCCTCTCTCCCTCCTGCCGGTCTTGGTGCGCGTGGGCGTAGGCTTGGTATCACTGCAAGGGGCCGCGATGGCTCTCGCGGAACCTCCGTGTACACCTTTCCCCGGTTGTAGTGCACAAAAGCACATGTCAGAACAACATGAGAAAGCTGATTCCTACACCAACGACCGCAAGAGTTGGCATCGTCCCTCAGTCGCCGCAGCGCAAGGTTATCGTGAAGCTCGGTCGCAAAATAGGCGACACCCAGCTGCGGACCACCCACAAAAACAATGCCTGGTAAAAGGTGCAATGCAGAGCACGTGGGAGCATCATGTCCACCATTGGCAACAGTACAAAACGTCGCCTTCGCCGCCAACAAGGGATTTTTAAGTAGGGCAACTCTCGCCGGGTTATCCAGCAACATGTTGATCCTCACATAGCGGTCCCCCACCAACACAGCACGGTTGGTCAAATGCAGAAACTGGCACTCCATGACGTTGTGCACCTTAGTACGCGAGCATATTATGAGCGGGGTCTTAGGATTCCTACGAAGTTTCTTCTGCACCTTCATGAAACCCGCATTTTTTATAAAGGCGGATGCAGCGTACTTTTTGCCATGAATGACGAATACATCCTTCTTAATTTTGGGGTCATTGCCCCCATCACCAGGTGGCTCAAAAATGTATTCGTTCTCCTCGGCTTCACCTTCCGCCGTTTCTTCCGACCTCTCTTTATTCTCTTCGTCCTCCTCATATTCCTCCTCATCGTCGGATTCTTCCTCATATTCTTCCTCCTCTTCAAAACCCTCCTCATCTTTTTCACTCTCCTCTTCTCCCACTGCTTCCTCCTCCTCCTCCTCCTCCTCCTCCTCCTGCGATCCCGTCAAAATGACCTTCGTGTTGCCGGTGTCACACAGTAAGGCGTCATCGACTGGAAGTTGTCGCGTCCCGTCCGCTTGTTTTACAACAGTGGAGACCTTAGCATTGCCTAAGTTGACTTCCTTTGCATGTTGCTCGGAAGGGGCGCCGTCGACACCGCACACGCATGCCGCTTCACACGAGAACGTCAAAGACGCGGCTTCATGGCTATCAACCAAAAATGCATCCTCCCCCTTCGTGAATTGTTGCATTTTCATTCTTCAGGGATCCCTTACTATGGGTAGAGATAGAAGAGAAAGCCAGTTTACAGAAATACGGAAAAAGGAAAAAGATAAAAGGCATCTTTTCTTCTTTTCATGCTCTTCTACCGCAGTTAGCAATACTATAATTCGACCGTCCTCACTTTTCATTCTTTTACCTCCCATCCGAGGCATCCCCCACCGTTATCCCAATATGTCTCACACTTTCTCCCCTCACCACCTTATTTTCCTCTTTTTGTTGTTGTTGTTCTTTTGTGAGTGTGTCTTCTCGGCAGTTACTCTTGTCCAATCAGGGAGTAATCAAAAAGCCATTGCGTACCAGCATGCATGCAAGCGTGAGGAGACCCAAAACATGCAGCATATTACCGCTGTCGCTCCGCATCAAAGCATTCAATCCCACAAGACAAGAAATAAGCGACAACAGCCATGTAGTTGGGTGCGTGGGTAGCAGCCAAAATATCCCCCTGAAAACAGAAGAAAACGAAGACAAGAACACGCCCAGAAAGTACAATACACAGAGTTCCAAGGTGGCACACCATAGGTGATATAGAATCCTAGCATCTGGTAATGACATAGGAAGTGAGAGCCAATTCAAGACGCTAAGAAATTCTTGCTTAATCGCCAAAACCATCGAGAGAATTTTGCTCACCACATCGTCACCCACTGCCTTTGTATCTCCTCCAACAGGAAAAAAAAAAGACGTTGTTGTTAATGATGTAACAAAACAAGTAGCAAGAAAAAACCAAAGACAACTAAAGACGCCAACAAGAATAGGAACGGTAATAAGCGGCAATGGCACATGCCATGCTTTCTTCCACCGCATTCTTCTCCATTTATACACCAACCATCCCGCCACAACGCCGCCTTGCAGGGGCAATGTGCGTGTTAACGTGATTGTAACTAGTTGCCTTGCCTCAGAAGTTTTGCCAGTAATCCACGGTATGGGAGGCTCAGTGATGAGAAACGGTGGGTGATGTAACCACCTACCGCCAAATGAAACAACAGCCATGTTGGTAAACGTAAAAACCACCGCCAAACGCAAAGCCCCTCGACTCGGGAGAGTTTCAAAAAATCCACTAAAAGGCGCAATGAGAACGCATGGGGCAATGTAAAAAAGCAGCAGTGCCGTCGAAAACAAAGAGGGAATGGTATTGGCCTCAAAATTCCCAAATGGCGCCACATACATATCTCGATAGACAAACAAAAGATGGTAATAGAGGGCAATTGACAAGCCAATCAGAGCCATAAACCACGTTAGTTGCAAAGACTCGCTGTATTCCCTATGGGTTATGTAGCGTTGGAACTCCTTGCTACGTGAAAGTTGTCGCACACAAGCATCTGTGTGGCGTCGCGACTCCACGCCGTGGAACAGATCTGGCGGAATGTGCTCACAGCTTGGCATCTATTCCTTTTCTCAGGTGACACCTACAACAGCGGCGCCTCAACCACTTTTATTAAGAAAAATAAACAATAAAAAAGAGAAGGAGGAATGAATGCCGCAAAAAAAAAAAAAAAGCAATTTCACAAAAAGTAAGACCTCTTAGTCGTCCATGACGGGGAAGAAAACTAAAAGAAAAAAAAAAGATATATATATATATATATGGTAATGCCAACCTATATTTATTTATTTTCCCTTTCCTTTGTTTATTTTGGGAAGAATGACACCAACCGTCTTCGGCCGTTTCTCAATTGTTTTTGCTCTCAGCTTTTCTTATTGTTTTAATTAATTCTGTTTTCTCTCTTTCTGCACTCGTTGCCTCCCTCCATCGTTTCTTAGGCTTCGTCGCGGCCTTCCTCCCGTCGGTCGTAACATTTGTTGAATTCTTTCTTATGCTCAACGTCTTGCCAAACTCTGGGCCACCGAAACCAAATGCGGGGATCTCTATAAAGCACCACGATAAATTGCAGGGCAATTATCCGGAAGAGCACAGTTAGGAAGAAAGAAAAAGAACAGGGAAGGATGGAGAAAAAGAACAAGAGCTCCTTGCCCCCCTCTCCATCCAGCAATATTTGTTCTGCATATCATGTACTCGGTTCCGTCTCTATTTTTCTTTTTTTGTTGTTGTTCTTTCTGTTTCGTTTACATCCCCCCCAGCAAATACTCCACTCGCGCCTCACTGCGGCTGCACATTGCCTTGACCCTAGCTCGCCCTTGCAGCCATCTCTCTCTGATACCGCTCCTTGTCCTTCTGTGCCATGGCCTCGTATGGCTTTTTCATATCATCAGAGAGCGCTTTCCACGCAGCGCCGGCTGCCTTGGAGGTCTCCGTGACGCTGAGGTCGGGATGCTTCTTCCGGAAATCGCTCACAAAGAAGAAGTAGGCAGACATGGACCTCTTTGGGGCATTTTCATCCTTGGCCTTTACCTTTCCGCCACCGCGCTTGTATTCAGTCCCACCACTCTTTTTATATTCGCTGAGTTCACGATCGAATCTTTTCTTGTCATCTTCTGCGAGTTTCTTGTACTTTTCTTTGACCGCATCCGAGGCTTCGGCCCACATTTTGCCCAAACTTTGCAAGATCTCCGTATTTTTCATTCCCGGGTTCTGTTCCTTAACTTTATCACGGTGGTCATTCCCAAAGAGAATGTACGGCGAGAGCGCCGCCTTTGGGTAATCATCTGGCTTCTTCTCCTTTTTGTTCACCTTCGCATTCCTCTCGTCAGCCGCAGCACTGGCGCTGCGCTTCTTCTTTTTACCACCGATACTGCTTGCCGCCTTCTCCTCCTTGACAGCATTCTCCAGCTGTTTCTTAAACTCAGGAAGCTGCATTAGCTTCGTAATGATGCCCTCTATGGCAGCCTTGTGCGAGGTGAACTCCATGCGGTACCTCGCCTCCAGGCGCAGACGCAAAATTTTACTTGTGAGAAAGCTCACACCCTCTTCGCGCATGATATTCGCGATGACCTCTTCGACGTCTGCCGGAAGAGGACCTGACTTTAGTTCAGTGGACATGGCTGTTCTTGAGCGGGGTTTATGTCTGCGTGGGATATTCTTTTCGGTGTTCTTGTTGCCTTATTATCGTCTCCTGTTTCACTTTCTTGGCTCCAGCCCTCATGGCAGAGAAACGATTCGATTGAGCGTCAAAGAGAAAGAAAACGCAGGGGAGGCAAATAAAGGGAAACAAGCGGAGAAGAAGTAAACAAAAAAAAAAAAGGAAATCAGGAGCAGCAATTCGGTCTGTTGACAGGGGACATCCTCGAGGCCATCTCCAGAAAAAAAGTCCAATTCAAGGCAGTCCAACGAGTCGACAACCACCATCAGTAATGGGGCACAGAAAACAAAGAGGGGAGCTCAAGCAGAAATGTCACAGTAAAATCTAGGTGATGCAGATGGTGAAAATTCACAAGACCGCAGTGAAAATCCACGCAAAAAAAAAAAGAAAAAAGAATAGAGCGCGGCAAAAATCTAAACTCTAAACTACCAATTGGATCAGACACGAAAAACAACGCCCGTTGGAATCACCGTTCTCTTTTGTGTGCGTGTGTGTGTGTGTGTTTTATCTTTTTTTTTATTTTCTGTTTTTTTACTTCACAAAAAAAGTTGATCTCTCGTTTTAAACCCTATTGGGTGCGCAACGCCATCAACGGTGCGGTGCTTGCGGACCGCAAAACACATTGGATCTTTCATCTGCCATTACCCTCTTCACATCAAACGGGAATTTCAAGTTGTCGAACTTCCTCGTACTCATGGCACGGACGAAACTTTTGCATAAGCCGCAGAAGTTGGTTCTCACCCTCCTGCCAAGGGGTATCCGTGTTCCTTCTTTTTGGCAACTCATCCACGTCGCATGCCCTCACACTCTCAGAGCGTTCTTGTGTGGGTGTTTTATCCACATCCATGTCACCTGAGCCACGTGATGGTGTTCTACTCATCTCCATCGGCACAGTCGGAACTGGGCTCTCGGAATCTGTTAGGAATAACACCTTCTCGAGATAGCTCCATCGCAGCGGGGAGCCACTTGCACTGGTCAGAGCAGATGAAAAGCATTGCAGACAATAAACAACCAGCTTAGAGACAAAACCCGCGCAACTTTTTCCAAAAAAGTCCACAAGATGAGTAACACTGCTTCCTTCAATAGAAACTGGCTTATCATGCACATCGCACCCCTTAATTCCCTCGTCTACCTCCTCAACGACGAATGCCCGGAAGTCTACAGAAGCCACAGCCATTTCAAGACGTTCTAGGACCTGCACAATCTCACTAAAATGAAGCTGTTCATGTTCTTTTATCCCATTCCAGTTCGAACACTCTTTGTTAAGCCTAACCTGTTCCCTTTCAAGCACCCCCTGAATCCCCTCGACATATCGCGTCTGAATGCGAAGATCGCATTCCTGCATCTTTGTAGGATTCCTATTCGCCTCCGCCAGGACGTGACCCAGCGCGAGGATGCTGCTAATGGTATGCTGCTGCAGGATCAAAGCCAAGCGACCATGAGCATCGCTTAGCGAAGACACTCTCCTTCTAAGATGAACTGCTACACCTTGACCCAATGAGCTAGGTTCACGCCCCATTGACAACATGTCCGAAAACTCTGTCTGGCACTGAGCATCTTCAGTGGCTATCCTCCGATTTAACGTGCTCGTGCCCCTGATATCCTCAACCACGGCATTGGGGAATCGGTGCACATGTTTGCGAACACGTCTGCAGGGTGCATCTGAACAGGTGAGAGAGAATTTCGATTCGCCTCCTGATGGGCTTTCACCCCTTGTACTACGTGTCGTCTTCGACGTAGAAGGAAGTACATCTGACTGCTGATCTTGATTCAATTGCCTCTCTAAAAGTGAGCGTAGTCGTAAGAGAAATACGGCGCTCTCTGTGGGAAAATCTGCCTTTTTCTCACTAGTCTTGACTCGTGGTTTCGCCTCACTCATCAGGCGGAGCATTGAGTCCGCCGCGTCCAGCTGCTCTTCCACATGAGTCGCATCGGTCACTGGCTTGATAAACGAAGGGGAAGACGATGATGGCGATGCGGGGGGAGGTGCGGGGACTAAGCCA